ACAATATATCAAGATCAAGGTTACATTACAACAGATCTACAAAGAATCAGCCCTCAGACCCAAGAATCTCTCACAGAGAAAAACGATTACACCAAGTAACCAAAGGTTACTGTCCACAGAAGAACAGAAAACCAAATTAAGCCTTAATCAAACACTAGATCTCACCAAAAAATACCAAGATCAAAAATTACAGGCGAAAACCAAAGGTTTTCACAGAGAGAGAAAAGAGAGAGCCAAAAAGTAAACCCTAGAATGATCTCGAACCTCTGAGAGAATGAAGAAACTAGCCAAAATAATATCAACCGGTAGAAGCATCCAACAGTCGTAACTCATCCATGTGTCACAATCTCAACCCTTGAGATAAGTGATGAATTGGGCTATCGGGTTGCATTCAAATGGTCTGGCCATCTCACAAACAACAATGGGTGCATCATAGGGCCCAGATATTATAGAATTGGGCTGCCACAATATTGTCCCAAATTGTTAAACACCAAATTTACACACCTTATATTTAAATAAATATCTAGTGACTACCTACATATGGATGAATAATTCTAAAATCTAATAATCACTTTTCAATGGATAAAAGTCGATTGAGTAATCAAGAATTGTCAAAAAGGTTAAAATAGAGATACGAACTCGAAAAAAACTCGATATCTGTATATTAGTTATCTACATTACAACTTGTATATATACTTCAAAAACATCAAAGAAATTTGTTATACAACGAAAAAAATACGAAGTACCTCCTCTATGATATTCATGTACTTCCCTGGTGGCAATACAATGTTCTTTATTAGGGTTTTCTGAAATCTACTATATTTCTTAAGACCGTGACAAATATCGAACCTTTTCTTTTCCAAATTTCTTGGGCCGTTTGGGATTGTGTTTGGATCCATATAAATATCTTTACTTTATAGTTTGTATCATTACTTAATTGACATTGTTACAACCATTGGAATGTTTCACAATAAGCCTCTTCACACAATCGCAATATTATACTCCAATCGATCTTTAATCTTCTTCTACACATCCATTTCGAGCATATAGCTTAGTACCCTCTTTCAACAAATTTGCATCTATAGACAAAATATCATAGGTCACAATCAAGTAAGTAGGTCTAGTGAACGAGCTGACTATCATAATTCAAGAGTCCGTTTGATTGCAATTGTGGAAAATTAGTGGAAAAAAAATGAATTTCGGAGAAAATAATTGTCTAAAACTTGTTTTTCAGAGAATTGTTAATGAAGTGTGTTTGATTGGTATAATTTTCCACACTGAAAATTTTTAAATTTTTGGATCCTTTTATGTTCGTTTGGCTTTGTTTTACATGAAAATTATCCATTAAAGTGATAATTTTTTCCACAATTGGTTATAAAATTTGTTTACATTGCCAAAAAGTTAAAAAAAGAAAAAAAGTTTCCTTAAAAAATCATTTTTTTATNGTAGGTGTGGAGATGAGATGAAGAAGATAGATATTGAGAAAATGAGGTGTGAAAAGTTGAATGTATTGGAAAAGTCTGTAAGGTCCGTTTGATTGCAATTGTGGAAAATTGGTGGAAAAAAAATGAATTTCGGAGAAAATAATTGTCTAAAACTTGTTTTTCAGAGAATTGTTAATGAAGTGTGTTTGATTGGTATAATTTTCCACACGGAAAAATTTTAAATTTTTGGATCCTTTTATGTTCGTTTGACTTTGTTTTATATGAAAATTGTCCATTAAAGTGATAATTTTTTTCACAATTGGTTATAAAATTTGTTTCCATTACCAAAAAAATACAAATTTCTAGAAAATCATTTTTCATCAAAGTTTAGTGTTCGTTTGACTTTGTTTTACATGAAAATTGTCCATTAAAGTGAATTTTTTTTTTACAATTGATTATAAAATTTGTTCCAATTGTTAAAAAAAAAAAAATTGGAATTCCAATTTCCCACCAAAATGATGGGAAAATCAATTCAATGATTTCCTAGAAAATGTGCATCTGTGAGCCATTTTGGGAAAACCAATTCCATGAAAAATTTATGGTATCAAACAAGGCAAAAGTTGAAAAATGAAATTTGAATTTCATTTTCCATGGAAAATTTGTGATTTCAAACATGGCCTAAGAGATATTAGATTGTTGGCAACTTTTATTTCAAAATGTCCAGTGTCCATTTTATGTAAAAATGATTTACACTAAAGTCATGTTTTACTGAACAACACTCAATCCTTGATGTCCCCTGAGAAATCATAAAATCAGAGGGCATCGCACCGAGAACGATAATACCACACATAGGTTACTGGACATGTGAGTTTGACTTCCAGATCGAAGAAGCATCCACAACGAGCCCACGCCTCCGTTTGTTCAGGGCAAGCGGCATAAAACAAAGGCACTAGCATATGCAATTTTTGGCCCTCATTTTCTAAAACTCATTTTCAACCATATATTTTATTGGACTCAAAATTTTTATCAACTTTTCAACCACACATTTTATCAACTTTATTAAAATAAACTCAAAATCTTTTTGACATGACTTTTGAAAGGTCAAAAGGAGCTTTCGAAATCCAAAAGCAAGATTTTGTACGTATTTGTCTAATTTTATGAAAGCACTTAAAAGCACTCCTAAAATAGGAAGTGCTTTTAAAAATTAATTTTCAAACAAAAATTAAGGGACCAAAAGTTCTTCCACGAGAAGTAAAAGCAAAAGCAAAAACAATATGGCCTTCAAAATCTAATTTGGGCTAAATAAATTTTGTTAGACATGCGTTAAATAGCTACAAAATCAATAAGTGAGAACAAATTGTCACTTGGGCAAATGGCAGAATAAACTCGAATCTCGCATTACAACGAAATAATAACTAATTCAGATTCAGGCTTTGAGACAATTGGGAAAAGGCACAGAGGGAGAGTTTCTGGATTTTACCATCCACAACCTATTCTCGATCAAAATTGCGACTGTTTATTCCAGTTTTATCCTGTCAACATCTGACATCACCCCTTCGAGCTGCAGAGCAGTGTCGAGAAAGGAAACTGAATATAACCATATGCATAATATATATTGATAAAAGGAAAATGTTAAATTCGATCGAATAACAATTAAACAGGCATACCTTGACAATTTGACGCAAAAAGTAATCCCCGTACCGTTTTGCCAGCTTGGATTCTACAACGTGAATCATGTCCTGAATTCAAAAAACAGAGCTGGATACTTCAGATAAAGTATTCTTAAATCGTCAAACTTTTTTGACTTCAATTACCATGCAGGATGTATATGCCACTGATATACGATCATGTTTAGAATACAAACATGATGCCCAGAATATGACCCACACTAGTACGCGCGAGAGAGAGAGAGAGAGAGAGAGAGAGAGAGAGAGAGAGAGAGAGAGAGAAGGGTTACTCCAGTTTAATTCGTGCTGGGAAAGAAGTGGTAGGGGAAATAACATGTTAAAATCCCAGAAANAACAAACATGATGCCCAGAATATGACCCACACTAGTACGCGTGCGCGAGAGAGAGAGAGAGAGAGAGAGAGAGAGAGAGAGAGAGAGAGAGAGAGAAGGGTTACTCCAGTTTAATTCGTGCTGGGAAAGAAGTGGTAGGGGAAATAACATGTTAAAATCCCAGAAAAGATTATAGTATGGGATCTCCGTATTCAAATTGGTAGATTGCATAAAAGTATGAGCTCCAGTACGCACAATGTAAGTTTTCAATGGTGAAACGAAATTAATCGTATGAGCAATGCTCAAACAAGAACCAAAAAAAATTGTGAGTGGACAATATACTTTCTCCACTTTATTGTAAGGAATAGAAAAAAAAATCCCTGTGAGAATAAAGAAGCCAATGCAGGACAAATGTTAATCAACACTTACATCATCAATGTAGAAATTCACATCCGCATTGGAGGTGATCTTTCCCTCGGAATCTACTGCATGTGTTTTGTGTTTGTATGTCATCAATATTGTCCTGTGGAGACACCAGTAAACCAGTTAAGAAATCATGCATATGATACACAAGAAAGCTGGGCCTGAAGTTGGAATAAATCCTCATATGACCTTAAAGTGGGTTCATCAACTTCCATGTAAGTTGCTAGTTTCCCAAGGGAGATAGTTGAGTACACTTTCAAGAAGGTCCGGACTCCAGATAGCAGTTGTTGCTGCTTCACTTCATAAAGAAAGAGCTTCAACTGTAGTCTATAAGCATCCTGAAAGGAATTCGATGCAAGATGAACAGCAGATACAGAATAAAATAAAATTCAGTCTTAAAAAAGTACAAGCATCAGAGATGTGAGATTATTTACTATCGTTTTATAAATAAATGCAGTCAAGCAGTTAGAAAATTCTGACTTTATTAGACAACATGCCACAAGATTAACCAAAATCCACAGAGATCAAGAATTTTGAAGCTCTGATGCATTTTTTTGGTTGTAGATAAAAAAAAGTTAGAAAATCCAGGTAATATTTTTTTAGGATGAGATGAGATCATAACCACACGCCACTTGCAAAGTCATCCACTACAAGTTGAATTTGGATAAGCTCCTATATTTTCATTATTGAAAAATCATATTATCTCAATCAAACTCTTTTACTGCATTCAAAGTATGCCTAGTTAATGCAAGGAGCATGCTTGAAACAGGGGTTGGTTCGACAGACTGGGCATGGAGTGAATTCCTGAGCTTAATTTTTGGTGATATAGGGTGGATTGCATTTGTATCATCAGCTATAACTTTTGGACAAAGTGGTGACAATCCCCTACATCATGTTGGTACCAAAGCTGGAGATCTCGTGTTCGATTCAATGCTAGAAAATTCACTCGGAGTGGGTTGATAATACAGGAGCATGTTTGAAATGGAGGTGGGCCAACAGACTGGGCTTGGGTGAATTCCAATGCGACATCAGCTATAGCTTTTGGGCAAAGTGATAGCAATCTCCTACATCACTAGTCCTTTTACCTGTTACTACGCTGGCCTAATTTCATGGATCAGTTGGCCTCGGCATCTCAATGGCTTGGGGCCTACCTTACTAGTAATGTTCGCTATGGCCTGCTTTCCTACTGCCAGCCTTACCATTTATTTTTTAGTTTCAGATAATCTCTCAATATGCTCTCCCACCATCATGAATCTATGGACTTGATTCCTAAAGCTCAGTGGCTGCCTACCTGAGACCAACTTGTTTACTTCTTTTTTGAGCCTATCTTTGCCATTAACTAGAAATTCCATTTGAAAATGAAAGATATCAGACAATAATTTTTCCATTAAGCCATTCTAATCTTACATTTGAATTCTTGAGTATCAATTTCACTAATCAACTGCGAAGTCTGCGATGTTGTACATACCGTCCATAGACTGTACGCCGTATGGTATATACATTTATTGAATTTGGTAAATGATGAAAACTAGCAAACACTTCCTATATAGAGAAATCATTTGCTTGGATTCCTGGGGAATTTCAAATGATAAGCAGGACAAGTAACCAGTCCCTAAAAGTTGAATGAAAAGCAAAGACGGATGCCACATGGGCACATTCAGTAAAAAAATTCAGAAATGGAGTTGAGTAAAATGGAGAACACTTGAGCAAAGGTAAACTAAATGGTTGACCATACCTGATTGTAGTTTACAAGAGGCTCCTCATAGCTCGGGGCTGAGGGAGTAATAAACTTGGGGCAAGCGTATGAGAAGAGCTCATCATACAGAGCAAATCCCTCATCATCACTTCTCTGCATTCTCAACATTTTATCACCATACTTCTCCCGCAATTGAGAGTTTACGGTCTCTTCAACAAGCATCACTTGAGGGCAAAGAGAAAGAGAAATGGCAAGCAAAGCATACATCTGCTCATTCTTCTTCAATATCTGTTCATACTGTGGAGATTTTTGGTGATACTGCTTAGTCTTGTAAATGTAAAGAAGTATCTTGTTGAATTCTCTGATGGCGTCCACATACCTGGACAAGCATGAACAGAATTACAAAAATATAGGGTGGCCCCCCAAAAAGAACATTGGTAATGGTCGACAAGTAAATTAGAAGCAATGTCAAAGAAAATTATCATAATATTTAAAAAACGTATCATAAATGCATCAGAGACATATCTAGGGAGTTTTCAAAGCATCAAGGTCCCTGACATCTGGAAAATTAATGCATGGTCCATGACAAAGTCAGAGCTGATATGCAGCCGTTACACGAGTAATAGGACAAAATCAAGGCTAATGGGACGAAAACCACTTCATTTCGGATAATCATCACAATGCCAATTAAATTTTTGCTTCTTATATCATCCAGAATGGGAGGAAGCAACAGTAACAAAACACAATGGTAAACAGTAATCAACAGGTACCATGTCAGTAGTGGGATTCCAAGCAGGAATCAAATTTAAATTAACTCATTCTATCTCGGTGAAATGAAAGAAACAGCAGCTAGATTATAAGAATATATTCAGTTCAAAATTAAATCAATTTATTTAACTTCAAAGTGAAATGAAATGAAAAACAGTTTGATCATGTGAACAATGATTTATGTTATATTTAGTCCAAAATAGGGAATGAAGGCGATGGAAAGGATTTCTTTCCCCAGGAATATGTGCTTGTTTCTGAGCTCAATATGCCACCGACAGAACAAAAAAATACCAACATATGATTCATAATAACTCCTATTTATTTATCCAGCAGGCATCTTCAAACAGAAAACGGGAAAAAATCAATGATTAAACAATATGATGACTTCAGAAAATTTATGTTACAAAGCAAAGGAACAGCAATGAGACTTATTGTCATATCATAGATAAAAACTTCAAAAGGCCAGGCAATTGATGATTGCTTGAAATCAAGAAATCTTACTAAGCCCTTGTTTGGTCCCCATTATTTCCAAAATACAATTTTCTCTCTATTTTCAACCACACATTCTTCAATAAAATAATATTATACGCAAATCCAAAATTTTTCCTTATTTTTTAACCAAACATTCTCCATCAAAACACTATTCTAAAATGTTTTTTGGGAAAAAAAGTGGGGGTCAAACAGGCTCTAAAGTTTAGAACGAATCACACTTCCACAAACTAGGAAGATATTGGCAAGTCAGCATGAGTAAACACATTATGTATAAAGTAAGGTGAGCTAAGTTCATCTTCACAAAAATAAAGCAACATACCTCCGCAGCATAAGGCTAGCAAACCCATAATGATATATGGTAGTAATGTGGCTTCCAATAACGCTGGTGTACACACCTTGTTGACTTATGTCAATTGGTAGTAAGCACTTCAATCCAGTGTGATAATCACCCAACAAACNACTTAAATATTAGAATGTGATACAAAAACACCTAAATAAAAATGAGTTTCAAAATGGTAATACATCAATTGATAGTAAGCACTTCCTTCCAGTGTGATAATCACCCAACAAACAATGAACTCTAAGCAACCCTATCATGCTAAAATACCCCAAGAACTTCAAGACATTACTTCCACCATTGTAATCATATCCATCCGTAGCAGTAAACTGTACAAGGCCTTCTTTCTCCTGCTCCAGAATTTGAATGATCGTAGATTTCTCCACAAGTGCTTGCAAGAAATTGAGAACACCATAAACATTCCAAGCCTGTTAAAGAAAAATATACACATGTACAATTCAATCGTCAAACGATTAATTGTATAAATGAAATAAATAGATGATGCAACCAAGTAAACCACAACTACTAGTAGAACTTGAGAAAGGAGGAAGAAGCGTATGCACATATAGAAGCAGTAATAGTAATATCAACAGCGATGTAGATGATAGAAATGGTATTTGACAACAAAGACAGACAAAAACAACTAATAAACAAATACATCATAATATTACCCAATAACGATATCAAAAATTTTTAAGCCCCGGAAAAAAGGACAGCAGGTCATTTCTCTCCGTTTTTCTCACCTAACCGACAAACCAAACATACTAACTCACAGATAAGTTTAAAGTTGTTACAATTATCACGATAAACTATCACAAAAAGCTCTACCACTCAAACCAAGTATCAAAACCAGGTACAACCAAGGGAAGAAAATACATACAAAATAACAAGTTCTGAGAAAATTTCAATATAGACTTACAATTAATAAATAAAAGCATCCATATTATGGCCATACCTGATCATACTGCCTCAGGAGAGCAATCTCCTGCTCTGTCTTGCTCTTCATCTTGGCACGGTACTGGCAGAATGACTGGAACTGGTAAACAAATTCATCTACCATGTCCCACAACCACTGGTTTGGCAATTGCATATTGACCACCCCATGCAACACAACCTAACATCATTAAGACATAAGTATCAATCATACAAACTGACAGGAAAATCGTTACTCAAACGGCCACCAAATAAGGACACAAGCAACTGATCCTCAGATCAATGGAATTTTATATGCCACATGCATCAACACAATTACGTGCACTGGAATGCATTGTTACTGGAACCAAATGGGTTATCTTTTAACATTTCCTTTTCCAAATGAAATCCCCTCAGTGTGCGACGGTGTTTCCTTCCAGGAATATGAATTTTTAGTTCTTTAATTGACCTTCTAATGGCAGCTTAGCCAGTTGCTTTTAGCAAGCTTCTGAGCATGACCCTATATACATGACATTAGTTATGGTCAAGCATGGGATATAATGGCTGGATCGATCATCCCCTATTTCAAACTTGGATGAATAAGTATATGCAGCAATAAACAGGCTGCAGCCAAGAAGCATTTCCTTTTTCATAGAAGCAGATATTTATTGATATGTAACTGTAAGATCTATAAAGTTACACTCTTATCACTTATAACTTCAATGTGCATATATAATAATGTCCTCTTGAAGATGATCGTGTTTCTAATATAAATATTCATTCTCACTCAATCTCGTGCTCCACTCCCGCTCCCTTATGACACTTATAGACTTCATAACGCACACAAAGCAAGCAATTATGGAATTTAATACATAAATATCCAGATTATAAAAAAAAGAAGCACAGAATAATCTTTTAACCTGGAATAGGCTGCAGTAATTATCCCACGAATCGATCCGCTGTCTGAGCGTAGGCGAATGCCTTGCATACAGATGGCGGAACCACATCTCCCGATAGAGCAAGCAAAACACGTGATCATTATCCACATACGGCGCCACCGCATCGACCGATGGCCATGGGGAGTCCTTGAAAAACCGGTCACTGATGCTCTGAAATGAGGTTTCGTACATTTGGTGAATCTCGTACACGTTCTTCTCCCTTATGTGCCGGTACATGTGGCCCACAAACGATTTCACGGAGTCGGGTACATAATTCGGGTCGTACCCGGCTGCGACAGATTCCGCTCCTGGTTTCTGTTGTTGGGAGTCATAGTCGAACGATGCCGTACCGTCCATGGTGGCGATGTGGTTAGTTTGAAGCGGACGACGAATTTATCTCTCAAGGGTTTTTTGCCGATGACAGTAAGAGGGAGAGGAGAAGAAAGTGGCTTTCTCGTGCCCTACTTGGACTCTAACTGTGGACCGATTTTGGATTGTGAAGTCCAACTCTTTAGTGGGCTCTTGAGATTCCCAAGTTTTTCAAACTTCTTGGATCAAGAGATTCTAGCCCAAATTTAGAAGAATAAAGGGTAAATTAGGGGGAAGAGTTCAAAAATTAGGTATTAAGTTTCGAAATTGCAAAAATCAGATATTTATTAATTAATTAAATATTTAATTGCAATATAATATAATTAACCCATCTCACCCCACCTCCACCTCCACCACCCTTACTGCTCTGGCGACTACTCCGTTTCCAGCAATTATTCCAGCGACTATTCTGGTGACCATTTCGACAACTACTTCGATTCCGACAATTTATACAATATGGTCACAGATTCACAATTTAAATAGTCACATATTATTTTTCAGTCACAAATAATAATTTTTATACGTCATAGTTCAAAAATTTTGTAGGTCACAATTAATTCGTTGATCACAGATCAAAATTTATAGGTCACACAGTCACAAATTTCCAAATTAATTGGTTACAGATTTTTTCACGATCACGGATTATATAATTTTTAGATCATAGATAACAAAATGGTTGGTCACAGATTATAGAATTTTAAGTCACTGATTATATTTTTAGTCACAGAAAACCAAAATTACCAGATTCTCCACCTGCACCACCATCGACTGCCATCACCATTGTCAACCCACCACACACC